TGATTTTCATTCCTGGTTTCACCTCTGAGTTATTACTGGATGTGATAACAGCTGAGGTTCATCAGCAGCACAGCTAACAGCGCCTTGGCGAGCCCTTCCTGCCAGCTGCAGAGGAAAAAGTGGGTCATAACTGGAAATGTTTTGATATATTGTTTTGTCTCAATGTCAGAACAGGTGAGAAAATATATTGGACAGCATATCAAGTTTAGGGGTCATATATACGTGTTATTTCTCCACCAGAAGCAATAAAGTGGATGTGGACTCCCAGCAGCGCTGCGCCTCCCCGCTAAACTTCCCTAATCGATATTTTGATTTTTTTATTTTATTTTTTTCAGAAAAAACCACAATGGGAACAGGACCTGCCAATAGATTCATTTTATATCATTTCATGAAACTGTTTAGCACTTCGCCCGCTGAAGCCAAGAAGAACCTGAACGTTGTTTTCTTCCGTTTTAAGCTAATTTACCCACCAACACCACGGGGCCAGAGGACAGCCAACCCGACTCGGTGAACCGGAGCAGGCGATTCGTAGAGAATACTAAAGCGATTTGGGCGATCTGATTTGAAATGGTTGTTTACACGACTAGTGAAAAGTCCTCAGGTGGAGCAGGAACTCTGCCTCCTGGCAGCCACAGAAGCACCGTGACAGTCGGGGGGATAATTACACTTTTCATTTATACTTGGGTTTATTAGTGTTTGTTTCTGCTCGCCTCCTTACTTACTTCACCGTGCATTTCATGTTTCCTGCTTATGGCAGTCATCTGCATATCATTATGTGTTTATCTGAAGGCTCTGTTCTGTGCATGCATACATTACACACAGAGACGATGTTCTCAGACTGAAATGATAATGAGAAAATTTCCAGCTAAAGTTTTGACTTTGTTTCTCCCCAAAAGCTAATTTGAGTCCTCCGTCATGTGATGCATTAAATGAGCGACGAAACACCAAGTTCAGCTCGAATGAAATAACAGAAGGATGTCAGAAAGCAGATTTTGTTTTATTCTTCCTTTGATGTCCATATTTCACAGGATATTCTGAACATATTCACAATAATCACTTTGTGTTGTATTGTGTTTTATTTAGCCATAGATAGCTGGAAATGCGATACTAATAAACTTGACTTGACCTTTACTGCCATCTAAAATCCAGGATTTGACTACGCCACACAAGGTTATTTTATTTTTGTTGAAACAATTGGATTTGGACCAGGCGGTGTGTGTTGGGTCTTGTTTGCTGCTGTTTCACTCAATAGAAAGAACTGCCCCAAAATGATGAGTCTTTCCTTGACCAATTTCAACTATTTTTACATAACAATACAACAAGAGAAGAAGAACTACCAAAGCTGCTGCCATTGTTGTTTCATTGAAAATAAACACCGTCGCTTGGCTTGACGAGCCACAAAAATCAAAATGTTTCACTTTATTGTAGAGGAGGAAGATGCAGAACCTTTTGTCAGACTGCAGGGGGAGATCAGATTTTTTTTTGTTCAATCACAGAGAGAAGTTTTTCACACTTTTTCATGAAGGTGCTCGTTGGAGGCTTTTGAAACTGAACTTTAACTTTTAAACAATTGTTGGATTTTCACAGTCAACTCATTAGTGAACGTTTAATCAACTAGCAAATGTTACTTGATTAAAAAGATATTTATGCTATGAAATGAAGCTCATTGATTTTTGATTATGAGAATTGGTTAAATGTTGCAAAAGTGCAACAAACAGAAATAATCTCTTAAAACATTCTCACTGCACTGTAAGAGCAACATATACAGACACACACACACACACACACACACACACACACACACACACACACACACACACACACACACACACACACGCACACACACATACACACACACACACACACACACACACACCCCCACACACACCCCACACAAACACACACACACACACACACACACAGCACATTTAAACAGTGTTCAAAATGTCAAATGAACTCTGGCTGGATCCTATAATGTTTCCCACCCAGATAAGAATGTGCGGTGTGTCTCTGAGGTTGATACAAACCACCCAGTCAAGGTTAAAAAATAAAACGGCCTTAAAGTGTAACAAATACCAGGTGACGACACGGTGCTTTCAGGGACCATGAGATGTCATTTACAGAGCAACGCTTGCAGACCGCAGTCAACAAATGACGCTGCATGGCGCTCTGCCGTGCACTCAGTCACCGCTGACTGTTTTTTTTTTCTTCTTCCTCTTCTTCTTCTCCTTCTTCATACACTTACTGCTGTGAATTACATAGAAATGTCAGCCGGTCACCATCTCCGCCCTGCCTCCATTTCAGTGAGCAAACGCCACCTATAAATCTGTTCCCATGAACATTAGGAGACAGCAGGCAGATAATAGGTTTATAGCTTGAAGGCCACTTGAGAAAATACACACGCCGTACCATTACATGGCTATCACCCCACAGCCGGGTCTATTTCCTTCCACGTATCTCTCCAGTTACCTTGTGTTCACTGGGAAGCCACAAAAATATTTCTGCTTTGCTGTATGATGTGAGAAAACAAAATCATTAATTAAAGTAAGAACAAAACTTTGGTATTGTCTACCTTGTTGTTCTCGAAGTCTGAGTTGTGACGTCATTCACCGTATCGCTCTGCCAACCTGCAGAATTTCACCCTTTCATTCACGGTTTTTGTGACAGTTTTCTGGTCTTCTTCTCATAAGAAGTTTCTAAAAATTAAAATGTCACCCCTTACTGTATATCAGGTATTTATGTACCAATATTTTATACATTTCCCTATACTTTTGACAGCTTGAAAAGCTTCTTCGCTTCAGTTAAAGCTCCCACAATCCTCCACAATCACTGTCACATGATCAAACATATACCATGGTTAGTATTTGTTTTCTTCCCTCTGCTTTCAGAGACATGAACTGCAAAAAGCTGGAAATCAAGACTGACTGTTGGTATTGGCCCAGTTTTGCTTATTGGACCGATACAATTTGCTAAAAAAAAGACCAACTATATGATATGTGAAAATGACTAGCATTGGCTGATACACATGTTAAATAATGACTTAGACTGCCTAATACCAATGTGTTAAAAAATGACTAATGTCAGACAATACCTTATGCTAAAACAATTTTAGCATAAGGTCTTTAATGCAGCAGAGGGACAAAGTCGCTTCTTTACATGTTGACAGTAACATTTACTTTTACGTATATTTTCTCTCCCCTGCTGTGGAGAGAAAGTCATATAATCCAGGAAACATCTTACAAGTTTATTATTCATGACGATAATTTTCTTACAAGTGAGTTTTAAAGACTGGACCAACAGGAAGGTGGTAATTAAACTCATCCTTCAACCTCACGCTCCTGACAGCCGTCAGTCTCTAATTGCAGAGCACACTGAAACGTCTCTGTCTCGCTTTTTTCCCTCCCGCTCAGAATTCCTCTGCGATTCTGTTGGGCACAACAAAACCTTCACAAAAGGTCATGTTTGCCCGGCGAAAATAAACTTAATTACACAAATAATCTGAGATCCCTGATGAGGTTCAGCTGATCTATATGTCAGCGCAGCCGGCGGATGAGAGGCGCGAGGCGGCAAATGAGGCAGAAACGCAGCTTGTAACGCGACACGCGTCCGCCATGCAACATGGCGCTTGTTCCGGTAATCACCGGGCCGCTCCTGCATCCTCGTTTGAAACTCGATCGGGGCCTGTCAGTGATAACGGCCCGCGCCAGATGGTTTCACTCGGCGCGGCCTCGGCTTCATGCACACTTCATTAGGGAGAGGGAACGCGGCGGGAAGAGGCGTGATGTTCACCATCACGCCCATCACTCCTTCTATTAGCAAAGGCCGGGAGGAAAGAGGCGTAAGCTGCAGATGCACAGGGTGTCATGAGTGTTGGTAAAAGTGCAGGGAAAAAGGACTGCAGGCGTTTGTCTCCTCTGTTTTCTGTCACCCCTAAATGTGTCAAATCAAACTTAAATATCACACAAAGATAACCCCAGTAAATGGACGAGTCAGTTCCTACTACTGCAAGAAACACAAAATGTGACCAAACATTTTTGGTCTAGTTTCAAGTGCAAAAGTTAAAAGTAACTTTTCTGCTAAATAAAAAGATTGTTTTATGTCAATAATTCCTTATTATTGATGAAAAGGTATTTTTTCCATAGGCAGCAGATTATTTCACTTATAAAATGGGAAAATATCCTTTTCATCAAAATAAAAGTTTTATTGACTCTTTATTGTCTAGACTTGTCCAAGTCTAGACAAGCATTTCTTGCTGAAAAGTCACTTACAGGTTAGTTTTGTCTTATTTCAAGTTTATAAATATATTTGAACTACAAACTAGACCATAACTACTTGGTAAGACTTTGTGTGTTTGCAGTGAAAAGATGATTCTATGAGGTGGGAAAAAAAACAGCCAAACCAAATAAAACCTGGCTGACGATCCACATTTTCAGTTCCGTTTCAGCAACAATCATATGGTCAGAAAGTTGGGATTTGATGTTACTTCTGTAGGACTCTGGGTTTTTGGGTTTGATTTTGCTTTTCATCTTATTTATTTATCATTAATTATGTTTTAGTTCCCTTCAGTTTAAGCCCTTCTAGACCATTTTACTTTTATTATTTGAGGTTATATTGTGCTTAGAATTGTCTTGTTTTTGCTTTCCGTATTTTCAGTCCTAAGTGTTTCAGTCACCCTAGGTTCTGTCATTCCTACATGTCTGAGTCTATGTTTACCTTCCTTTAGTGCTTCCAGTTATTTCTTTGTTTAGTTCTTCTGTTGTGCTTCAAAGTTTTTCTCATCTTGTTACTTTAGGTTGAGTTCTGTTATGTCTGCATCCATGACCATCTTCCTTTAGCCATCCTAGTTAGGTTGTTTAGTAGTTCTCTGTGCAGCGCCACCACAGGCGAGGGGGAGGAACAGCTTTTCAAAGCGTTTCAGTTAACCCTAACCCTGGCTTGGTTAACCTGGTGAACATTTTGTCGGCTGATCTGAACTTCCCTTTCTCTCCTCTCTGTCCCAGGATGAGTGAGCGGTGCATGCAGATCAGAAGCAAAGGGGCTCTTCTTGTCATGGTGCTCGTGGTCGGAGTCCTGGAGCTGTCCAAGTCGACAGAAGGGGCGACAGGTGAGCCCCGCAGACACAAAGGCAACAACTGCTTTATTATGCAGGAAATGGGGAGGAAAAGCTCTCTGTCTTTCTCTCTCTCTTGGCTGTCAGCATCTGGACTCTTCCTCCCATGGAAACATGGCGGTAAGGTCACATCTGCCTGGGAGGAAAGCGTTATTCTTGGGAAAGCAGAGTGAGTCAGTAATTTGGCAGGGAGAGCGAACGCAGCGCAGCATGGTCCGGCAGAAAGATGCAAAGTGAGCAATTTCCTTGCAGCCTGCTACAGTGGCTTGCAAAAGCATTTCCATCTTTTGAACTTCTCCACATTTTGTCACATTACAACCACAAACTTTAATGTATTGGGGTTTGACACTATAGGCCTATGCAAAGCGCTGCATACCCATGCCGACTATTTGAAAATGATGAGGCTGAAGTTACTTCTTTGGAAGTAACTCAACCTCAGTCAATCCAGATGCAGTTCCTCTGTTGGATCTGACTGAACCGTCTCAGCAACATGTCCCAGCGCTTGCTTTGGACTGCAGTAGCTCAATGCTGCGGGTCATTGTCCTGCTGCAAGACGAACATCGTCCCAGGCTCAAGTCTTTTAGAGCTTTTTCAGGTTTTCCATCTAGGATTTTGTTCTGGTTTAGTCTCTGATGGTGCCTTCCCACCCGCTCAAGGCAAATGAACTCCAGTTCATTTGCTGATTCCTTTGTGGAATTGTGAATGTATAAACGACCAAAAAGTGAACTCTGGTTTCCCTATAAATCTCGGTCTCGGACCAGTTGAAGTGAACCCTGGTGCGTTTGAAATGCCAATGTGAACGCCAAGTGGACCACAGACCGCTCCAAATGCAGGTAGCAGACTATAACGCAGGACCATCTGCATAACCAAAACAAACACTCGATAGCGTTAGCGGGAGAAAAGGACAAAGACAAATCCTCCAAATGCTAACATCCGATCCATTTTTGTTAGCATTTCTTGAAGAAGAAAGTTGCACTCAGTATCTTCCTCAGAGGTTTTCATATCATGTCTGGGATTGGTTCTTGGTGCAGCGCCACCACAGGTGAGTAGGTGAACAGATTTTTCAGAGGATTTGATTCATTTGACTGTGCAGATTTACAGAGGACGGCAGCAACTGGAACAGTAACAAACGTTGCACATTTGGTCTCTAATCAAACCGAGTCCATCGGACCATCAGCTGGGAAAATTCCCTTAAAATCTTGGGTTATTTCTTTCCGAGGTGGTACTTGGTAAATCAGATTTTGGAGAAGAAATGGATTCTACAGTTAAATCATATCCACATATATTAGAAGAAAATAAAACATTTCTCACCTTTCCTACTGGTGTAAAACATCATTGTGGCGCTACTTTAAAACGGTGTTTACTGAAGTGAGGCTGTATGTATAAAAACCACTTGAACGCATCATCTAAGATTTCCTGTAGTGCAATATACATTTAATATGTTATTTTTCATTCACCCTGCAGAGTCAAATACATTCAACAACTTTTATCTCACCAAGTCTTATCATATCTCATGGAGTCGTGTATTGACAGAAAACAGGAGCCGGTTTTGCCAGCCATGTCAGGATGTAAACATGTTTTGCTGCAGAAACTCATCTGATTCATGGAAGATTCTGCTTTTATTAAATCTGAGTGACTTTCTGTGCAAATTTGGATGGGCATCGCTGTCCCCTTCTCCTGGAAAACATTGGCTTTGTGAGTGTGAACGGTGTTTCTGTGCCACCTGCATGGCTTGGCATGACGAGCAGTTTGCATGTCCAAGACGTTTTGGTTTGTTTTGCAGAGGGAACAGTTTGATGCGATTGTGACAGCAGATATTTGCATGTGCGCAGGAAGGTTTTCTGAGGTGGTTTTGAAAGCATAAAACAAAAACAAACAAACAAACAAAGTGTTATTACCGAGAGACACACCTTTTCAAATTGGACTCAGTGAAGCTTGCTTTGACAATTTATTTATTCAATATCAACAATCAGTAATGAAATCAAAATGATAAAAATAGAAACTTTTTTAATTTTCGCGCAAAAATTGGAAGATTGCTTTCATTTTCCTTTTATGTTTTAAATATTAGAAATTTGCCAGAACTGGTATTACACAGACTTTAATGGGCCAAAAGTTTTAATGCAATTAATTCTTGTATTTTATGTTTTACATGTAAACATTCTGGTGAGTTTAAAGTATTTTTCAGCATCTCTTGTTATCATTTCTTGATAATCTTATGGCTGGTGCCTCAGATTTATGGGCGTACCAGGAACATGAGAACACAAAGGTTCCAGCCTGGAACTGTTGCATATAAAAAACCAGCACACATCCTAATAAACAATACTTGTTTAATGTGTTGAGTATTTTTTTTCTCAAAAGCATAGAAGACACAGAAACACCCAGCCTGAAATACCTTCTTGCTAGGTGTGAATGGCATGTTCTCCTATCTTTCCTATTTTGAAGATCAGTTAAACAAAGGCTTTTTTATCATGTCTTTGCATATCTTATGGGATTAGGAAGCAGATTTCATGGATGCTCTTAAAAAAAAACATGTTAATTTGAAAATCACGATAAATTTCTTGGATAGTTAGACAAAAACAAAAGTATTTTTTAGTGTGAGATTAAGCTGCTGTGATAAAACATAGATTAGTTTTGAGGCTCCTTCAGCCTCAGCAGGGCCAGTAAATGTGGAGCGTTGTATGACTCCAACAAAATCTCACAAAAAGCAGCAAACAAACCCTCTTTGTAATTGGAAAATCTCTTCTTCTTTTATATATATATATATATTTATTTATATATTTATAAAAGTAGCAAGGCCATGTCTGATGTGGAATTTCCCAATCCGAACAGAATTTTTCATACTTTACGTTCAGCTGGCCAAGTGGGAGGAAAGAGTTTAAATTCTGACCTTGGAGCCGCACCGGGCCGATCCCTGCAGACTCTTTCCAGCCTTGATTTTCAGCCTCCATGACGGCGAATCACTTAGCAAAAAATCAAAGCACACACTTTATACAGGGCGGCCCTGAACCTGCGAGGAGCGAAATATATTTGACAGCTCTTGCTCTTTATTTTCAGGTATTAGTGGGTCCGGGGCGCCGCGCGGGAAGTCTCCGATTCACTTTGCAGTATATCACCTGCGGTGCTTTGCATACCACTGTTAACGTTACAATGATGTAGAACTTTGATGTTCTGACTTATAGCTGATGCTGCCCGCTGCAGAGATCATTACTTCCTCTGCGCTTTCCATCTTCTGCTCTTTGCAGTAAAAATGAGTTATGTAAAAAAAAAAAAAAAGAAGAAGAAGCACCTGGTCGAAAAATAAGGAAGAAAAGCTCTGCCAGACGTCGCCTGTGCTCCACTTTTTAGGCTTTTTACAATCTCAAATCAGTGTTGGGAAAATTCCCCCCACATGGAAGGTGGAAGGTGCAGCCGGTGCTGCGTACGAACTTCTGCAATGATCACATTATCATTCCCAACAGCTTCATGAATAAGACAAAGTGTGCGTTCTGCTTTGCCAGACTCTCCGGAGACCGATGTATAAACGCTTCTTGAGTAGAATCTTTTCAGCTCCGCACCAGGAGAGGAGAAGAAACCCTTCTTTTTAGCTGAAAGCTGATTTAGTGGCACAGATGGAAAAAAACAAAAAACAAAACAAACAAAAAAAAAACCCTGGTTGCTTCGACAGAAGGGTCTCAGTGTTCCTGTTTCTGGAAACAGAACGTATTTTCAAACCAGAGGATCAGGGCCACAAAAACACAAGAATTCTTAATTTCAGTCTCTCACTTTTCATTTCTTAATTGCGTTAAAAAAAGTTGAAATATGTAACTGATTAATCAAAATTAACACATTAAAGTCACAGCTCAGGTGTCCCTCAGGGAGCGATACATGCTACCGTTAACTTTCTAACGTATTGATAACTTGAATTCCCACTTCGTTCATCCCTGGAGGATACATAGACAGCTTTAACATGCAACATATAAAATATGATATTGTAGAAAATATGTTTGAATGTTTGACTGTAAAAATCAATGTTAAAAAAAGGAGAAAGAAATTTGTACAACGTATTTATAAGGAGCTCCAGGAACATATTGATACATTTAATAATAAATTAGCCTCTACATTCAGCAAAATCTATTGCATTAAGGTTGAAATTATGTGTGGTGATATTAATATTGACCTAAAAATAACACAGATATTATTAATACAATCTATATCCTTTTTTTTAGTAATTATTAGAACCAAGTAGAACATCTGGTACTGCTACTTTAATGTATGACATATTTATAAATGTAGTTTACAATGACACTCTCTGGTCTTCTAATAAATCATATCATTGACCATTTTTGACTATTTCTGTCGTTTTTCCAAAACAGAAAATAATAAGTGGGTCTCATGCGACAAAAAGTATCTGAACCGCTGCCTTCAAAGCGAACGACTGAAGTAGCTGCAGTGGACAAAAGCAAAGAAGAGTTATTAGAGATTACAATGCATTTTTTATTGGGATTCAAAATGGACTGAAAGGCGTTCCTATAAATACCAGAAATGATTCTCTGAATATTCTGTAATTCCAGTTTAGCAGCACACAACCCGATCCTTGTGTCTCCTATGAACACCGCCGTTACGACTTCCTCAATAAAACATCTCCAAGTCGGTTCAAAGTACAATAAACGTCAAACTTTCCACCATTTCCAACATCAAGTATTAATAACTTCCCCCAGACTTTCTCCGGAAACGCGTCTGAAAGTTTCCATGCATGGCTGCCTTTTCTCTTTGCCTTCGCTGGGAGACGGTGAGCGTGACAGCAGCATTAAACACCAGGAGAAAGGATGGATGGATGGATGGATGGATGGATGGATGGATGGATGATGGATGGATGGATGGATGGATGGATGGGTGGGTGGGTGGGTGGGTGGGTGGGTGGATGGATGGATGGGTGGGTGTGGTGGTGGATGGATGGATGGATGGGTGGGTGGGTGGATGGATGGATGGATGGATGGTGGATGGGTGGGTGGGTGGGTGGGTGATGGATGGATGGTGGATGGATGGATGGATGGATGGATGGGTGGGTGGGTGGGTGGGTGGATGGATGGATGGATGAATGGATGGATGGATGGATGGATGGGTGGGATGGATGGATGGATGGGTGGATGGGTGGGTGGATGGATGGATGGATGGATGGATGGATGGATGGATGGATGGGTGTTACTGGTGAGATGCAGGCCCCAGCTGGGAACAGATACATGTTTAGCCACCAGGACGCGGCGTCCCGCTATTTAAACTCCACGCTCTCATCCTATAAGAATGGAGAAAAAGAAGAGGAGAGAAGGAGCAAACGGCAGCGCCAGGCCTCCTCTCAGCAGGTTTAGGAGCAGAACGCAGAGATTCCTCCGTGAAGCACTTTCCCTGCGTGTTTTTGCTGCTGTGGGGGGAATCTGGGCAGGCATCCAAGTGGAACTCCAAATCTAGTCGAAACACCACAGCCTCTCAGCGTGAAACTGCTGGCAGAAATTCCCTTTCAAGCATCTGCGGCGGTTCGGCACGCCGCGTGTTTGTCTTTCATATTTGGCAGCCGGCACATGAGAAAGGCTCCCACTAATTTAGCTGGACTACCTGCGTCGTTTTTAATGCTCCAAGAGAAACAGGTTGGATTGTAAGAGGAGGCAGGTTATCAACTATATAATCAGAGCAGCACATCTATTCTGGCTCCTTTGCTTTTAACACTGGATCTGTAGTTTCCTGGCGTCTTTTCCCTCTTATTTCTTTGAGGTGGACAGCAGTTAAGCACAAGGCCTTTCACAAACTGTAGAGCATTTATTAGGATGTTGAGAGTCTAATTCTGAAGTGGAATGAATGAGTCCGTGCTTCTAATTTTTTATTTATTTTTTTGTGCGTATTTGAATTCTGCCACCTTTTATTTCGATCCACTAAATAAAACCGGCGCAATCAGAGAACAGAGTGCAGAAGTGAAGCCGGTGAACGCTGCTCATGTGCGGCTCCATCTGAAATGTGAATTTTGAGCAAACTTGTCATAAATCACCAAAAAGGACAAGAAAAAACAGGAATGCACTGATATGAAAATTTGGCCTGGTATCTACAATATGCCTGATGTTGATATTGCTGTTGTCATGGCAGCTCAAAGTGCTTTCATCGTGAAGACGTAAAAAAAATATGATAAACACATCAGTTGGGAAAACCGTTAAAATGATCAAGACACATCAAATATGTTTGTCAATGATCCATTTATTATGGTCCAAAAGCAACTTTAGACAAGTCACAGTTAATATTTACCAATATCGTGTTTATTGAACTGACTCAACTGTATCAATTATAGACTATGGGTCGTTTTTCTTCTACTTCATCATCGTCAACCACGAAGTTTGTGGCCGCAAAATTAGTTCAAATGTCACTGGACAGCCCGGTTTGGAGAAAAAGAAGGAAAAATGAGCTTCGTCAGCTTTAATCCAAAAAGCTACTGACTAGTTTGTCACATTATTTTGTGAATCTCTTTCAGTTAAATCCTCAGTCAAACCGTTTCCATCCTTCAGTCCACAAACCTGAAGCTGATTAAATGGGATCCGCTGAGATCTTACAGTGTGAACAATTAAGCAACGGGTTTCATGCTGTCATTTCCACACTTTCTGTTTACCCCAGCAGCAGATAGTCCCTCTGCAGCGAAAAAAACAGACACCTCATGAAAATGTCACATGCAATTAAAACAGGATGGGAAAGCTCATCCTCTAAATAATTCAGACAATGGAGCGTGATCTGGAAACTGGCTCCAAACGCTGCAGAGCTGCACTTCCCTCCTCACATATTCAAGTTTTTTTTTTGTTTAAAAGAAATACTTCACTCCTCTGAGGAACTATTTAAATAATGTCACATTTGTTGTATCATACTTTTTCAAATCCTGAAACCTTTACTACTTCAGAGGTTTGCAATCGGGTCCTTGAGGGCCACAACAGCTCAGCTGTGTCTCTAGTCCAAAAGATGTTTATTCCCTCCCGGGTTCATCCGGGTCCTCCAGAGTCCTGATCATGACTTCGTTACGTTGTTCAGGTGTGTAGAAGAAGAAACATGCCTACAGTTTACAGGACAGCAGGCCTGGAGGACAGGAGTCCAGCATGTCCAAAACTCGCTGGTAGTTCACTGACTGAAGTCCAAACTGCTACTTTTAATCACTCCGCTTACAATTCTGATCAGAAATGATTCATTTACACAAAATTAGCAGAATCTGTTGGTCTTCCACTACTGGACTATTCATAAATTACATAATAACAGTGACAATAGTGACACCAAAGTGACCTATTATGTTTCCTTGAACAGGTAAGGAAATGTCTAACCTGTATATTGACTACAAAATATGTTTATTATTATTATTATTTGCATAAAATCATTCTTAGATAATGTGATATTATTTGTTCCTGCATTGAACTCCTTTCAGAATGATTTGTTTTAGTTCCTCTCGTCACTTTAAATCTGCTGCTGGCCACGTCCCCAAACGCGTACGTGCGTAGCCGTATGTCTGTGAAAAGCAGAAGTGGAGCGTCCTACACAACCAGGAAGAATGTATGCAGCAAGTGGTTTCTGGATAGTAAGTGAGCAACAAAACTCTCGTATTTTCCAGGAGTCATTATTCAGCGCATACAGCGGTGAAACCAGCTGACTAAAGATGCTGGAGCTCAGTTTGTGTTGCTAGGCGACAGGCTGGGAGGCGCTGGTGTTGCTAGGTTATGGCAGCGCCTGCTGATTCATCTCACTGCATTCTGGAGGTTTTTGAAATGGCTCGTTTTCTAGACAACAAACATCATAAACTCAGTGCCAAAAAATGAGCAAACATATTTGTTTTGAAAGCAGTAGAAACTGAAATGTAAGTATAAGATCATGTCTCCATTAATCTCAGTGGTTTTATTATGACAGAAAGTATGAATGTTCATGGGTTATGGATACATTTGTGCATATTCACAGAGAACGAATGTTAATGCGCTTTAAAGGTAATTTAGTGATTGCCTTTCCTTTGTTTAGTGACAAAAATTATGTATTGAAGACCAAAGAGAGCCATCCGCTTCAGGCCTAGTCAAAGGCCGGTGCTGTGCATGTTGAGGGTAATTTCTCCCCCTACCATTCTTCTCTCTCCCCCACAGCTGCGCACCATGTCCGGACCGGGACCTGTGAGGTGGTGGCGCTGCACCGCTGCTGCAACAAGAACAAAATCGAGGAGCGGTCGCAAACAGTGAAGTGTTCCTGCTTTCCGGGCCAAGTGGCCGGTACCACCAGAGCCGCCCCGTCCTGCGTCGACGGTACAGTCCACTCATTCAATTATTCATTAGGAATCTTGTATTCTATAGATAGAGATAGAATTCTTCTGTTGTTTCTTTTTTTTTTTTGCTGATGCTTCTTTGAGGAATCGACTTGCTGATCTCATCACATCCTCAACACTCAGTTTGAAAAGTTGGAAAGATTCTGAAAGGCTGCTGGAGCGGAACGTGTTCTTTTTTTCTAAATCATTTATACATTAAAACTGTTACTGTTAGAGGAACCAGACCGAGAGCCAACTCACACGAGACGGATCGGATCATTTACACCTGGTGATGTATCAAGATAGAAAGTGATGCAAATGAGCTTACAGGTCACACCTCAGCATGTCTATCTGCAGCTTGGAACACGGGAGAAATACGAAGCTTAAAATAACTCAGGTTATGAAATCCATAAGTGGATGTGAGAGAAGAGTTCAAATTCTTGATTTGCTCATGAGCTTCACTTGTTTCTCACTTTTTCCTTCTTAATATTCCTACATTGTTATTGCATAATGTCACATATAAATAAGGTATCTGCAAATTTCAGAAAGTCAAATGTAAGACTTTTTAATGCCACCCTGAACAAAATTTAAGCCTGAAAAAAAATAAAATAAATTATATATATATATATAGATATATATATATAGACTGGAGGTGTGAACGCGCAATCAAACTTGGATGTGAACCAAAAATATGACCTGCAAAACTAAGTCGGTTCAGTTGATGTGAACTCTGACGTAGTTCAAATACGTATGTGAATGCTCAGCAGAAGCAAACTGTAGTGCAGGGCATTCTGGGTAAATGCAACCAAAACAAACATGCAAGTCTTGTGTTTGTGAAAGAAATTGTCCATGGTTCGTTGCCAAAGACGAAAAGACAAATCCTACAACAGCTGAACTCTGTCCCAGCTCTGTTGTTGCTGTTCATGGAGAAGGAAACTGTTCAGTGTCTTCTTCAGGGCTTTTTGTTTTGTTTCCTCAAGTCACTCTTGGGGCAGCGCCCCCCACAGGTGAGGATGTAAACAGGTTTTTTGAGGGTTTGGTTAATTTGACACAATGCAGTGTGATAGAGAAAGTCAAACCGAGTCAACTGAACTATCAGGTGTGAAAACACCCGTAAAGGCATTTTTCTGTAATCACAATTTCCTCTTGTTTTTAATGTTTTTTTTTTCTTTTTCTGGCTTGATCAATTAAAATGAGTAAGACTACACAAAGTAATGTTCAAGTTGAATCCAGAAGCTGTAGAAAGGAACTCCTGAAGGCTTTATTAGGCCTGAGTGAGTCAGTGACCCAGAGGATTTCTCAGCATGCTAATATGCCAGACTCCCAGTCTGTGCCAAGGTGGCAGCTTCACTTTGGTCTGAAAAGCGTTGCTTTCTGGCGAAGCTCCGGATCGCTCGGGTTTGACCTATTCCCTGACATTTTAGTATTGACATTTTCTGCAAATTAGAGCTGTGAGCCACCGGTCTCAGTTTAAAGCCCCTCCGTTGATCTCAGGGAGAGAAAAATGATAAGCACTTAACCTTTTAATTATTCTTTCCTCTATGACCAGAGATTACCTTCAGCTTCTCTTTGTGTGAGACAAGCTCCTCTTCATATGAAGATAAATGGACCTCCAGACTTCTAAGACAACTCGTGTCTGGGAATTTTAGGATGGAGCGAATGAAAAGGCCGTCAAGGGGAGAGGAAAAACAAACCCAAAAAAAAGTGGAGACATGAGAAAAACCCCACATACACCCCATAATTTAGACTTGTAAAAACAAAAACTTAAAAAATGTGTTTTTCTGTGATTTAATCACTTTTACAGAACTGAACAGGAATTATGGTCCAGTTTTTGCATAACACAGAACATTCATAAAAAAAGATGATGGGTACATTAGCTTACCTACCATTCATTCAACATTCTGCCTTCATCACCCAGTTACTGGCAGAATTTAGTTACTTGGATGATGAAGATGAACAACAATATGAGAGTCTTGCAGACTTCTGGCCACTTCAGTTGGTGAAAAGTTACCCGATTTTAAAACTCCTGCAGAGAAAAACTTAAATGTACATGTTCAGATTGATGAATGTTGATTAAACTGAATGAAACTCGAATGCAATCCCCAATCATTTCAAAAAGTTGATGGGTAGAAATAGATTGTGATTTTTCTTGGCACCATTGGTTAAAATAATGTAGTCTAGTGACCTGCGATGCAAACACACACCTGGATTCACCAAAGTCACAAACTGCCCAGTGTTTTGCTTCTATGAAGCTCAAACTGGCTTATGATCTTGTGATCAAGAATATTCTGCCTGAATCAAAGGGATCAGGAGGGTGGACTTTGTTCTTCCACGTGACAGTCATGGTAAGTTTTGTGAGGAATATATGCTTTTTAACATCTGTCCTCATGGCATTAAAAATAAGTGTTTTCTGTGATTTATACATCTTCCTACTCTAACTTCCACCTGAAAACAGTGTCGCTCTAAGGTCATGCGCAAATGTGTAAGCAGCAAGCCAACAGGCTAAAAATTGCTGTAAAATGTTCTACGGGCTTCAATATGTGAGGGTTATATTAGTAAAGCTTGTGGTAAGACTGTTTAGAAGCCCACATGTTGATCATTAGTCAGAGCTTTCAGGTTTGGTTTCCAGTTTCGTGCTTTTAGGCTCTCTGCTGTTTTTGGCCTCTGAATTGGCTGCAGTCGTTTTCTTCTTCTTGGCAGAACTGTACGTTTTGAACACAAATCCCCACTGGCACACGCACTGAAATATTTTTTGATTTAAACTTAAGGTATTTCTAAGACGTTACTTAAGCAGTTAGTTTTATTTTTGTTTCGTTTTTTCAAAGCTCACGAGTTTAAAGCGAACATAAAATCAAAACATGAGCTGAGGGGCAACTGAAAGGTCTGAATCGGGTTTTGTGTCCAGTCTGAGCCGTCGTCGTGTTTTACAGCCCTGTTAACTCAAAGTGAAATGTACTCCCTCCACTTTGTTTGATCATCAATACTCCCATTTCATTTGGCTGTAAAAACCTTTGTGTGTGTTTTTTTTAATAGCGACTCCGTCTGTTTGGAGTCGACCCGGCGCTCGTTTTTACACGTTCCACAAATTGATCTCCTCCCGTCATAAAGTCTTCATTCTTTGCCATTTACAATTGTGTTTGGATCATATATATAGCTCTCTCTATATAGAAAAACCGTCTTCATTATGAAAAGCATAAACGCTGCTGCATGGGGTTTTCAAACATGGAGGATGACCCCTGTAATGTGCCAGATTGTATTGTACACTGCAGTACATCTGCTCTGTGCTGTTTGTTCTGACTGCAGATGCATCAGCGATCACTTCCCTACCCTGACACATCATATTCAGGCTGAGTCTTGTTTGCATATTCAAAATAGATGTGTTACCAGAGAAAAAGCAAATCTTACATCACTTAGCTCAGAAGGCTGTCAGACGGTGATGCGGCTTGATGGCAGCTTCTTTGATGATCTGAAGAGATTCCACCTTTAAGGCTCCGTGTGTCGCGCCGAAATGTGTTTGAAACACACGAAATGACAAGGCGGCAATTCCAAGCACCCACCACCTCCAGATGATCCAGCTCATGAAATAAAGAGCATTATCATGGTTCCTCACAATGGTTGGAAGTATGAAAACCAAAGCTGAACTCGTTGGGAATTCGGTTGCCAGTGTTGCATTCAACTGCTTGTCTTTGACTTTCCTTTTGTCGTTTGAGGCAGTGAGAAACTTTCTCCTCTTTTTTATAACACTGCATTTCAAATTCAGATACAACACTGATTACATAGAATGTAATTAGTAATGATTTATGTGATGGTTGTCAGTCTGATTACTATTGTAACAAAGTAAAAGGTTTGAAGCCCAACTTCTTTGAGTTGTTGGTGATTTGCAGGCAATCAAGCGACTAAGGATATTTGTTTTTCTTTTCCTGAGATTATTATTTTTTATCCCACAATGTTTCTTGTGGTCTCCTGCACACGGGGGTCTTTACATCACTTATTTCCCCCCCTTCCTGTGCTCGTCTTCATTTTTCCTTTCTCATTTTTTCCCTTTTCATTTTTTTCCCCCTCTTTGTTGCGATGTAACATCAGGGACAGTTTAGGTCATTTATGTCTCCATTTAAATGTCTTTTACACAATTTGCTTTTGTATATTTTAAGATGAAAAATTCATCAAAATGTGTTGGATGTGTACATGATGTAATTCACAGGATTTATTATCCAAATGAACCACCTGCTTTTTCAGCGGAGTGGTGGAATGGAAGTGGAACATACGAGCAGATTTTCTTCACATTGGTTTGAGTTATTAAAATGACGGGATGGTTTTTTTTTCCTGTTTTCCGCGCCATGTCCAGCCTCGATAGTGGAGCAGAAGTGGTGGTGCCAGATGCATCCGTGCCTTGACGGGGAGGAATGCAAAGTTCTTCCTGATCTGAAGGGCTGGAGCTGCGCGACAGGGAACAAGATTAAAACCACCAAGGTGAGCAGAGAGAGAGAGGAAAAAAAATCTCTTTTATTGATGCCAGAATCAGAACTGTTGAATCCAGTGTGCAGCCACTCGTCAAGGTCAGCAGGCTGTGACTTCTGTTCCTGTCGCCTCTGCCTTTAACTAAAGACCAGTGTTTGCAGCCGGTGCTCGGACCCCTGGGGTCCAATAATCAATGCGCTGCCATGTCTCCTTAGCACTTTCAGGCCACTCTCAGCACCCAAACTGGCCAATTACTCACTCCAGTTACTTGCTTTTAACATTGTAACACGATGCCTGTATCCTTCACTGTGTTATGACTACCCGTAGACTTCAGTTCTGCCTCCCTCCATGTAGTTAATTATTTAAACCGCCTGCACCTCACCTGCCTGGAGCCGGGAGCCTGGAGCCTTGGGCTATTGATTCTGGGATCGGTCCGAACCTCAGAATATATATATATTTATATATATATACGTGGAATTGTTTTCTTTTAGTCATCAGGGTTCGGAGAACATCCATAGATGCCCTGGAACACATTTCTATTATTATCAAATCTTGCAAGACTATTTTTAACACTAACCATGTCTTTTGTGTTTCTTTTTATTGTTATTTTATTTGGATCTCTGGAAAGATTTCTGCGGACAGAGACCAGCTTTGGTAACGACAGACGCTCCACTAACTAAACCCAGGTGAATTCCCCCCCCTACCCCACCATCTCTTCTCATTGTTCTGGTTTTTATTATAATATTTGATATACTTTATATTTATCATGCTTAAGATGTTCCTTGTTCAGATTCCCTGTGGACTCGCCGTCCATGTTAAAAAAACAGAGAAGTTCCCACCATGTGACTTCTGATCCCGTGTTGTCAGACTGTCTGATTTAGACACAATTCCCACCAGTGGAGCTTCACGAGCGATAAGGGAGCAGAGGAGGTGCATGATCCAAACACACCACAGTGACCCGTTCAAAGCTCCATCATCACCTCCAACACCTTTGAACTCGGTTGGAGAGACGACGCTCCTCTCGCTTAAATTTCCAAACAGCAGGGGGTCACACTTTGTTCGTCGCCTCTGCGGCGCTTCTGGAAAGTAATAATAAAAACGAGAAAGAGAGGGAAAAAAATAAAAATCAAGACAACATAGAGCCGGGTCCCCCCAGCTACACTCGTCCTCATGAGTCTGTATCAATCACACACCATTGGAAAAACTCAGCGATTTCAACGTGTTTGGCAAAGCAGAGACCGGCTATTAGAAAGCCTGGGGCGCAGCGCGGATTTCAGACGTGATGGGAATTTTTTTGCGTTTGAAGCCTCAAATGGAAGCAAGAGGTGACAGATTGAAGAGTTTCTTTTCCACGGATAAATACAGAAATCCACAAAGGTGACAAATTTAACCTGCGCTGTCGGTATTGCTTAGTACTTGAGGGATGAAAAGGAGGAAAGAAAGCGCACACACAGGCAAATGCAGTATTAAAAATCCTGAAGTCGAGTTTATTTGTCGAGCACATTTCAGCAACAGGGCAGTTCAAAGAGCTTTATGTCGGGAAAACACAAAAATGCAAAGTCACAGAAGACACCACACAGTCAAGAGTTGAAACATTACATTTTCTTAGAAGCCTTATGTTTATTTATGTCAGTTATATGTCCTATAAAAAGGATTAACTACTAGTTTGTTCTGAGATGTCATGAGGAGAATAACTGAAGTTTGATGTTTGGCAAAATCTACAATGCATCCGACAAAGAAACCGTGAGATTCAACCGCATCTAAAATCTGTTGTTAGTAACCAAGAAGACACATGTTTACTGTGTATAAATTAACGTTAAAGCCATATTTAACTGCTGACACAATAAATACTGTTTTCTGTTGCTCCACCAAGTGCTAAACATCTCTATAATTTGGAGTCTAGTTGTAACATTTAGCAACGTAAGTTTTGCACAACCACAATTCACAAATTTATTCCCAGAAGGACAAAAATAAATGAGCTATTGATCATATTGTATATAATTAAAAATTTTGAGTACGCTTTTTTATTTTTTGGACTCTTTTTTTTTTTAATCTTAGCAAATTGATTTAAAATATTACTAACAGTTTGTCCGAATCCTGAAACATCAGCAGAAGCCCAGCGTTGGCTCTGCGTTCTCTCTCTGGTGTGGTTGTGCTGATTTCATGGGTGAATTCTTGCCATATGATGAAAAGCCCAGTCATAGTAGCTCGAACACAAAACATATTGCTGAGACGGACGCGGCGGCGTGCCAATTACACAGCTGAATTACAGAAACACAAGCCCCGCACCTGCTGTGTTAAACCTCTCAGCCGCGCTCACTTCAGGGACCGCATGGAAACGAATGCTTTGCCGGTTAAATTAGCACTTGTCATCCACCAATTAAACAAACCTAACACCTCGGGAGGACTTGCTTTTTCCCTTCCTGTATTTTTAGCTTTGTTTCAGACACTTACTCAGAACGCCATTAACGATTTTTTCATCCCCCTCCTCCTCCAAGTGAGACAGGCTATGGATTGATCTCCGGAGACATTCTCGCTTCTGACAAGAAGCAGCTTAGCTCTTTGTCTTTCCAACCCGAAATTATTCTCAAATTAGTACCACATTAATCACCATGGCAGCTCAGAATGTAAATGACTCGGTGAAGGGGAGAATTTATTGCAGCCGTACCTGTTTTGTGGAAACTGGATCACCCTGCTTTTCCTCGAAGTGAGAGGCCTGATGGCTCTTCACCTGTTTTTCTAATTGGAGGTGATTTAAATGACATTATACACTCAGCCTTGGTCAAACAACCCATTTGAGAATGAATCTAACTGGGTTGTCAGAGTTGTCTGTTTCCTATCAAAAGTTCAGCATCAAATAAAAATCGCCTGGCGAGTCTGACGACGGCTTCCCGTCAAAACCACATGTCCTTTGACAGCCGACTGGAATAGACGGCGGACGTTGTTATGAAGGTTGTTACGTTGTGCTCTTCGAGAGTCTTTTCCAGAACGTACTTTTATAGGAGCAGAGGAGCTGCCTGTCAGCCACCGAGCTTCATGACAGGCAATTTAATCTCAAGGAGAATGGAGGTCTTCCCGAGTATCTGACAGCACCAAACCACGAGTGAAGGGTCGGAGATGTTAATGCAAACCTGGCACTCCGCTTTTATGCTAAACTGAATGAGAGGACCTAATAGGTACACACACATCACTGGGCAGGAACGCTCATTTTCTTTTCAAGCCACTTTTTGAAATAGGAGTTATATTTTATTGCTATGCAAGACATCTAGAGAGTTGCTGTAATAGGTTGACCAACGATTCTCGTCTTCCTCAGACTTCTAGTTGTTCGCAGTACAACTATGAAATATAAGTGGATTTTATGTGATGGACCAACAATCAAGTGGTGTACACTTGTATAATAGAAATGGAATGTTTTTAAATGTTTTTTTTCCAAATAAGCTTCTGAAAAGTGTGGCAGGTATTTGTTTTCAGCCTCTCTGAGTCCAACACTTTGTGGAATGAGTTTTCACTGCAGTTAAAACTGTAAATCCAACTAGATGCAGTTCTGTTGAAAAGAAATGCAATTAAAAATCACATGTGAACGGATTCAACACGTTGGAATGACAAACTCAGCCTTTGATTGTCGCTCCAACACCTGACACCACATCTGACTAGTGCTGTGGCAGAATTATAAATATGTTTCATTTAACTGTACGTCTATTAATGTCATGATTTTACTTTCAATTCAACTTTAACGGCAAAACTGTGTCTTTTTGACGTTGCACACATTTGTAATGGAAACGCAGCTTATGATGATGCAACGTCTGTCTCGTTTCCATGGTTCTGAGTTGATCTCTGTTTTCTCCGGTTGCAGGTGAACGCCCCGTCATTGTCTGGCGGATCATAAAAGGAGTAAAAGACTAATATGAAGGACTTTGCTGTAAATAGAGACATCCTTTATTCTGGTCTAGAGATAATCTTTTAAGACTTCTGAATGAATCCTCATGAACTCGATGGACGTCAGCGTGAGGTGCACCGGTCATCCCCGCTCTGCCTTTTTTTGGATGGCAGGACCAGTTGTCTGACATCGTGCCGCTTGTAGTGGAAAACCGCAGCGACCTTCGCCGATGTGTCCAACTTCTTGAGTAGCGCCACCTTCACAAGCAAGCGGTCTCACACAGCAGCCGTTTCGTTGGGTCGACCGATGGATCGGCATGTCGCTCCAAGAACACATTCATCGGCCGACGGCAGCTTTCTTCTCTGGCAAATTGCAGTTAGGAGATTTGGGGGGAGCAAATAGTTAGTATGATTATCAAAGAAATAAAACGATTATCCATCCATGACATGCAATACTCAACTAGATACTCTGGACTCAAAGACTCCAGGGCTCAGCCCAGGCGCAGGCAAAGAACAGATCAAACATAGAATCAAAGGGAATTAAATCCATTTACAATCTATTAATCTTTAAGTTTCCATGCCTTCCCCCCTCAAACTGCATTGCTGCATTAAAATTCAGTTTCTTTGGTGAGATGAATGTAAATGACAAACATTTGGACGATGAGAGTGTTTCCCAAACTCTTTCTAACTAGTGACTCAAGTATGATTTGCTAATGACTTTCAAGTGACTATCGCTGACACTTCTTTAGTCTGTGTAAGTGATGACATTAGTAATAAACAATGGTCGTGTAGCTGAAAGCTTTTGTCTTTTCACTGTCTGCATAACAAACTAGTCCTCCAAAGAGCAGCGGGACGGCGGAGACAGCCTGTCCTCAGACGGAGGTCTAACGTCGGTCACCGCTCTCTTTTAGAAGAGCACGATCGTTTTTATTGCACTAAACTGCATTTGAGAAAGCTCTGCTCTCCGCACCAAAGCAATGCCAGACATGGCCGGCGGGATCCGGAGGAGCAGCTGCTGGATTCCACCTCACACACACACCGCTGTGACAACCAGGCCCCGGCGACGCTCAAGCCCATGATTATTCAACAGGCTCAATGTGGTGAGTGAAGTTTCATTTGTTTTGCCTCAGAGTTAAGATCAGCATAACGAAGCGTATGTTTCATTGACTCATTTCAGGTTATTATTTTTGCATATGAGGAACAGATCACAGGAAGAGGAGTTTGTTGTTTTTCTCTTTCCACCAAAAACTGGACGACAAAAGTCTTTGTTTAGGCACTTTGGTCTCATAACAACAATCTTATTGTTTATCGCAATAACTGAAATAAAAATAAGAGTGTATCATGTAGTCACTCCATGCACAGCTTCTCTGAATTTCCTCTTTGGGTCATTTGGATATTGATGGATATTTATGTACATATACATAATCTTGCCAAAGACTCTCAGTTGTATTTAGCGTTTTAAAACGTTCGGCCGCTGAAGGTCTCGGTCTTTCCTGTAGAATCGGAGCGAATGCTGCAGAACTTCTCGCAGCCGCAGTTTTGATTATTCCTGCAGAAACGCTCAAACACTTCATCTGGAGAGAGCGTTTCGTTTGCCGTTTGATGGCTTGATGATTGCATCAGAGGGTTTGCTATTGCTGGAAGCGAGGCACATCTGTGGAAAAAAAGAAACAGTAACATTCATTAAGTATATATTTCAAGCACACGCGGAAATGTCTGTGTGCTTCTGGCGGAGGGGGAAAAAAAAGAAAGAGGAAAAGAAAATGATGCGATCAGATGAAACGTTCCCCGCATGTCGCACGCCTGGCAGGCCGCATCCCCTGCTTTACTCCCACCTGTAAAGTTCTGTAAGAATATGTTCAATGCGGTTAACATCCACATTTCCATACCATTTATTCCTCTCGGCTGAGTCCAAAATTGTCTTTTGTTGTGTAAAATGATTAAATGAAGCAAGGGAAGTTGCTGATAGCGTCAGTGGTTTACTGCATAATGAAATTTCTCTTCCCAGAGAATCGATGAGCTTTATTCCCCTGGTGGACTGTGTAATTACAAAAGTCTCTTTGGGTTATGAAACTCTACAACATATTGTAAGGCCAGGATACGCCTTTGATGAGCTCTAGTAAGGACGGCGTTAATAAGACAAAAGAAAGACTGGGAAGGAAAGAATCGCCTGGCTTTTACTTCATTTGATTCTCTGAAAAGTGAGCAGAGCTTTAGAGCGGGATTCCTCCAGCTCGGCCGAATCGACTCCCCGGAAATGTCAAAGCATCCTGGCACGCAGGGCCAGCCCTGTCGTGGCTGTTTGACTGGCACAGAAAGCGTTTAGCGAGGGGATGACTTTTGTTAGGAAGAGAGAAGGTTCATGTCAGATGGAGGCAATCGTGCCATCTGACAAAAATCCTGCAGGCGCCACTTGTTTTCTCTTCTTCCTCAACACAACTCACACTCAGACTGAACGCGTCTTGCAGGCAAGAAAACGGGTTCAGTGCAGTTGCCGGTTAGATGGCAGACCTCTAAGTCTGAGATTGAAGTTTCCGCTCTGCCTGGAAACTCTTTACAGGGTACAGGTATAGCTGGTGGCCCTCAGCATCCTTCCATCGTTTTTCTGTCTACTTTATCATAATGTCTCCTGTAAATAATCGCATGATGTAAATGAGATGGTTTAAATGTTCATGAAATGTCATTTTTTTGAGAATGGAGCTGTTTCAAGATGGTTCAGGTTCCTGCTTCAGACCCAGTTACTGGACTGGACTCCATCATGAAAACATGCATACAAAACACCCAGTCCAAGATAAATAGTTATTTACTGCTGGTAAAATATGAACTTTAAAACTTTTACCAGAACCGCACGTCAACAGTTTTCTTTCGACAACTTAATATGCCACATCACTAATTTGAAATCTCGTCATTTTAAAACGTCCAACTCTGTTAAGAAGCCAAATCAGATCCACACTGCAGCATTAAGACTTGTTGAAAGTCCTAGAAGAGCGTCTGGGGTTCTAGTGGGCCTCCCACCAGAACCCGCTGTGAAGCGCCTCGTCCAGACGTGGACATTCTGCGTCGCGTTGGGAGATCTGTACGTGGGAAGACGTCGTGAATCACGTGTTTGTTTAAGCGACGCTGTGAATCTGCTGGGGTTAAGTGGCGCTAAGGGCTGCAGGGAGCGAGCGAACAGAGCCTCTCTTTAAATAATCCAGTGTAGTCCATCCACTAAACAGCAACACATCCACAGCTCCTCCCATGGGATTGATTGTATTTGTTACCCTCAGCACTGTTGGCTGTTAAATAAATAAAGTGTTCCCTCAGCCACAGGAGAATGGATATTTCACTTACATAATACTGAGTAACAATAAAGGACGGTATGACAGAAAAATAAATCACAATAAATGATGTAGTAGAGGTTTTTAAACACGTAAAGCTGCTTGAATGAGGTGTAAACATGGTTTGATTATGGGAAAAATCAAGCTTTCTTCCATGTGTATATATTTTTTTATGTGGTACTTTTATAACTAAATTTCCAGACTACACAACATGAGGTGCTTAAAGAAATGTCTGTTCTTTCTAAACAGGGTTTGCAACACGACTGCTTAACAAAAAGCAAAGGCTGCGTTCACACTGCAGGGCTTTAATGCTCAATTCCGATTTTTGGTGAAACCCGCCTTTGTTTCGGTGGCCGTTCATATTCTCAAATATATGCGTCTAGTATCTGATCTCCTGGGTGATCGGGACAATCTAAAAGTGTCACGTACGCACAGTAGAGGGCGCAGTGACGTCACAGAGCGTCCTCAGTGTCTGCAGAGGTAAACATGGATGGTGATCAGGTCCCTCCTGGGCCACTGGGTCCTGTCTTGATGGGAAATGTTGGGTGGATGCAGTTGCTCACAGACGTTCCTGGAAGCATCCCTTTAATTTGTGTGCATTGTGTCGTGGACGGTGAATATGACGGCATGTTGTTGTGGGCGCTGCAGTGAACGGAGCCTGAATACAGTAAACTATCAGGAAAAGTCATTGATCGCCATCTTCATCATAATCCTGCACACTGCGGCTACATCCACCTGGAAACAACTAAGTATATCTGGAAAGGTTTTTTTGTTTTTTGTCATTTATCTGTCATACTCGCAGATTCGACGTCTTCGGAAAACCAGAAATTGTCATTTCTGAACCGGGTTGCAGAGCGGATGCATTTCAGAGCTGCAGTTCATGCATGTTTTTTAAGCATGAACCATCTCACTCTCCCAAATAAACATGGCACCTTTCTTTTTGTGCGCGTGTCGTTCTCTGGTGGTGTTACGGTTCCACCTATTGGCTCGGCATGACTACTGTATAATATTCCGGATTGACTGTCTGTTTGTTTTTTTTTTTTTTGTTTTTTTTTCATACATATCGTTTATAAAAATATAAACTTCATCGCACACTTCCTCCTCTCTACTTTTACTTGAGTTGTCATCCATGTATTAGTCGTTACAGTTAAAACCATGTTTAGCCGCGTCGTTGTTGCCACAGTATTCAAACCATGTTTAAAAAGTAGTGATGTACGGCACCGTATAAATGAACTGTTTGGTCAAAAGGTTTTGTGGTTGAAGCTCTGAACCAGAGCTGTGACCATCTTCCCATCTACTGCTGTCCATCTGTCGCCCTGCAGGCCAACACAAGCAACACTCTGAATCTAAATAAAAGGTGGACTGATTTCCTGAGGCCAGTGGTGAAAACGACAACGAATTCACCGCACAATTATTACCACAATCAGCAACCTGGATAATAAATATTTAAACGAGCTGAGACGGTTAGTGCTGCAACCTCAGCAGGTTTCCGTCCGTTTTCTGGGTCTCTCAGTGACGGATCGCTGTCGCAGCCATGAGTTTTTGTTCTCTGTCCTCCGGGTGTCATCGCTATATTCAGTTATAGGAAATTTGATGTGCAATGGATCCCTGAGCATGTGCGCCGACCCGAGCAGACGCTATCCGGTCCGTCTGGTGCCAATAAAGCTGAGCGTTCCCTAATTAGTACCAAGATGGATCGCGCCTATTTTGTGTTTTTCCCCGGGCTCTGTAACGCACCGCTCCCGGAGCCGGGTTGGATTACACACAGACAATAAAGAAGACAAGTGAGAGGAACTCACTTCTCAGACACTTCAGAACCGGACTTTAAAGTCTGGTAAACGTCTGACCAATCTGCAGTGTTGGTTAGACGTTTAACATCATTCATATCACTACTGTAGGTCATCCGCATGAAGGTTCAATGACAGGGTTTTGATCCACTGATTGTTTTTGTCACTTCCAGAGAGCGGTGCAGCACAGCTATCTAAACAGGAAGTTAGAAAATAAACACCCTGGGAAACTGCCACATAAAAAACCCCTAAAAAAGACAGTGACTCTAGTTGATGTAGAAAATGTGACTCCAAGATGTCTTCAACTTTACCAGAAGTTTTCTGTCTGGATGCGTCTCTGAATAGCTATATTCCCACATGGTTTATTCCCAAAATGCTTCCAGGCTTGATTTCAAACTTGCACCGGACGTACTGTGACGTCCACCGGCTCAACAATGTCGATTCATACATGAAGCCTGTTGCAGAGGATTGTGTGTTATTTGCAGCAGAGCTCAGAGTTGTTCACAGCAGTAAAAATACACCCAGCAAAAATCAAGCAGAGATTATCAAATGTATTTTGGACATATCTAAGGTGGTTTTAGTCATGCATTAATGCTTTTCCTTCTTTTTTTGTTTTTTTTTAAACAGCCTCAATTCTGGTTATGAGGGTCCAATCAGACAGGCTATTTTCTGCTGGGTCCAGAC